GGGGGGGAGGTACTTTAAAGCCTCCTCAATGCAGCAATATATTGAAGGTTCCAGCAGGGCCAGGATTCTCTCACATACATAACGTAACTAAATTGTTTTTGTCGAACACCAATTGAGACGTGACTACACATATGAAATGCTCAGTATCAGAAATAGTTTGTGTGCTTGTCTACTTCTATTCATGTCTATTGATTCCTTCAACAATACCTAATTAGAAACTGGAGTGAATGAAGTCAACTCCAAATTCATCAGAATCTCAGTGAAACAAAAAACAAGTCCTCCACTCAGAACATTCTAATAAATCCACAACTCTCTCCCACATTTATGTAATAAAAGAGATACTTCAGCTGATGGCATTTAATGGCTACCAACATCCAGATTCTATCCAGAAAGCAAACATCATTTTAAAATGGCTTTAATATCTGGAATGGAGCTCACTGATTTAATGCAAACCCAAAATTCTTAGTAGATGCCAACTTAAATATAGATCTGTATCAGTATAGGCAAAACAAAGGATTTTTAAATCAACGTGATTTCCCAGATCACTCTTCTCCCTTATTTTCTTGTACAATCCCACACCATATTACAAAGAGGGTTTAAAAAAATCAGATCTGTAATTAGGGATGTTAAATATTGGTTAATTGAATAGTCGAATAACCTCATGAATTCTTACTGGCTAGTCAACTAATCTATAGTCCCCAAGGATGGGGCCGGCAGAAGCACCGTGGGGTCTCAAGCAGGAGCTGGTTTGCAGCAGAGCAGGGTAGCAGTAGCCCCTTTCTGAAAGGCAGAAGGGGGGGGGGGGTCTGAGCTCTTGGACCCAGCATGAGCTGGAACGGAGCTGGGTTGCCTGCCTACCTGGCTCCTAATACACTTGAAATGAAGAGCCACAGCGGGGGTAGGTCCCAGACCTGGCACGAGCCAAGACTGAGCCAAGCTGCTGGCCTATAACAAAAGATTTACTAGGAAGGGAGGAGGGGAGCGAAATGCATGTAGTCTATAGCATTAACCGATAACCTTTTGCTTATTGATTAATCAGTTAATCGACTACACTATTCTATCCCTAACTAACTCCTAGCTGATCAGACAACCGACCTGAGGAATATTGCAAGTACACGACATGTGGTTCTAAGCAAAGGCTCTTACACAATCGAATAAATACCAAGATCACCTCTTCTTATAGCAGGGGTTGGAAATCATTTTTAATGGGAGGAGGGGGGCGCTCCAAGATTTTGGCAAGTGGTCAAGGGCCACAATTCTAACGAGGGACTGTGGGGTCTGGAATTGGAGGTTTGGTCCAGAAGGGATCTTGGGGTAGGGGACTGGGATGCAGGAGGGGGCATGGGGTCTGACAGGGAGTTTGGGTGAAGGAGGGGGGTTGTGATCTGGGAAAGGGGCTTGGGGTGCAGGGTCAGGGAGGGGTATGAGTGCAGGAGAGGATTCTGGCCTGGGAGGGAGTTGTAACCTGGGAGAAGGGGGGAAAAGGGAGTAATAGAGGGTTTGGGTGGTGGCCTGGGGCAGGTATTTGAGGGGATAGAGGGGAGTAGGGTGCCAGAGGCAGGCTCTGGCTAGGAGGCGCTTACCTAGGTGACTCCCAGCCGGCAGCCCTGCAGGAATCTGAGGCAGGCTCTCTACTGAAGTCTCAGTTGGCTGGCTGCTCCATGTGGGGTCTGATCTGGGCAGCGGGGAGGAGAGGGAGGGAAATGGCTTCACACTCTGTCCCTGACCTGAACAAAGTTTCTCAGTTCCTACTGGCTGGAAATTAGCCAATGGAAGCTGAGAGATTTTGCTGGGGGCTAGGAACAGCATGCAAAGTCTCCCTCCCTGGCAGTCCAGAGCAGAAAGCAGCCCGCTGTTTAATGAGTGAGCTATTCTCTGTGTAAGGGTTCCGGCGAGTGCTGGATCCAGTGGCTTGGCAGACTGGATCCGGCCCGCTGGCAACCTCTTGCCCACCCCTGGTCTTAGAGGGATGGTTCATAGATTTTTATTTTCTTTCCCAACCCTCCTTCTGTTTTATAGATTTTCCCCCCAACTAGGCTAGTGGACTGAGAAGTCTTGCAAACTGCACAGTTCAGCGTCCCTCCAGTCAAGCAAATGTCAGTGTTGACAGAACTTAGTGCCTGTCAACCATACATCATGAGATTTGCAGCAGTTTACAGCTTGCCTGTTGGATCACAGACAGCCCTCACCACAATCTTGAAACCATGCTTTGAAAATAAATCTATAGCATTTACCAGAAAACCAAACTCATACCACTGCTGCACTTAATAAATGGATACCTCGCAAGATAGCACCGATAGATACACATGCATGGCTGAAGTTAAAGAGGGATGGAGAGTTCCATCCCCTGCAGTTGAACAGAGTTTCTGAAGAAAGAGGGGCTTTTAACAGGCCAGCTGTAATCCCACTTCTCAAGGCTAGCCCTACCAGCACACGACTAAAAGCACTTCCCCTACTAAGATTCCTTCATAACACCTTAGGGATGGTCCCAGGAAAATTGCATATCAACAACATTCAATGGATACACTCAGGGGAGCCATTACTCCTGGAGACAGGAGCCTCACTAATAATCCACCCTTTTCTAAGCCACCATAGTCTCTCTTCAGAGGTGAAAGGTTGCATGCTGAGCTGCAGCATGAACAAATACTACCTTCCCCCATAAGAAAGAGTGGGTGAGACAGGAACCAAACCAAAAGTCAGGATTGTGAAGTGACGTTTGAATTAGTTGCACTGTACATATTCACTGGAATGAGACTTGTCTGTCTCTAGGACAGCGATCAGCAACCTTTTCAAAATGAAGATCCAAACTGCATCAAGCTTCAGAACAAGTGGGCAACAAAGAGCCAAGATAAGAATGTCTCTTTGCATGACTCAAAAAAATATACAACTTAATATTACTAATAATGGACATGATGATAAATAGCATAAATGAAACACTGTACTCCAGGACTTTACTGGGACTTCTGCAGCTGCATATTTTCACACATTTCTTTGACCAGTTATGATGTAAACTTCCAATTCAGCTTTATGCATGCAGACTATCAATCTTGAGTGCAAATTACCTTTCATGCAACTCAAATGAAAGAAAGCCTGCTTACACATACAGGTGGAGCCAAACATTGACAGCAAGGCCAAGATGACACACTTCATGGTACTGATGTGACTCTTTCCAAAAGTGCAGAGTCAGATCATCATTGTGCTCCAATTTCTTCATGTCAGTCTGTTTGTGCAGTTTTGCCAATTCTGCACATTGTCAAGCAAGGAATTCTAAAACAGAATTCAGCTTGACAAATTTTTCCACCCCAATATCTGACTCCCAATATCCAAATCTCTGACAGGTGCCTTGAATGATTGTCAAATACTGTTCTCCTTCAGATGCTTTCTCTGGACAAATCATGCACTTCAAGAGAGCAGGTGTTTGCAAAAGTCAACAAAAACAAGAGACTTGAATGCCATCAGGAATGCAGAAACAAACCTGGCAAGCTGCTGCAAATCAAGCCTATTTGGATTCTTTGATACGAATCATGAAATTGGCACATTTTGAAAAATTACAAATCTGCCCATCTCAATATCTTTGAAGACTACAATCAATTTTGACTCCAGTTCAAACACTGCCTGCTACAGAGTCAGGATTGTATTTCCTTGTAGCTTAAGATTTAACATTTTCAAATGACCAGTAGTGTCAATGAGATGGTAAAACTTTAGCAACCAGTCACAATCTGAAAGCCCGATGCATTTGACACCTTTCATATCAAACAAAGACTTGATCTCATGAATGCAGGCAGCAAAACAACAAAAAAACCTGTCACACGATAACCAGCAAACATTGTGCACTAGTAGATTGGGGAATTCGGAATCTACTTCCTCGAGCAGTGACTGAAATTGACTGTGATTAAGGGCCCGGTCAAGAATCCAATTGGCAATGCAAACAATCAGTCCCATTACATTTCCAAATTCGGTTCCACAAGATGGTGCGCAAAGTGCCTCCTGATGCACAATGCAATCAAAGTTCAGCTATTGACAAGAGTAAGGAATCCCCTGTATTTGCCATATTTGTAGGTTCATCATCCATACACACAGACACAAGATTATCCAACTGTATTTCCCTCTCGTTTACAAAGTTCACCACAGTTTTAAGGACATCTTTGGTAATCTCTCAATCATTTCTTCGTGCACAGCATTTCCACAAATATATTGTCCCAGAATACACAACTGATTAATGTCACCTATGTCAGTTGTCCTGTCCAAAGCCAAACGAAAAATAAGTTGCTGTACTCACATGTGTTGCGTAAGTTGCATTTGTTCCTTGTTTGATGGGCCTTTCACAGTTCTATCATGAACTGTTTTTGCCAACAATGGCATGTCTAGAATATTTTGTCCTTGTTGTGAAACCCATCAAATAGTTCATGACCAATTTTTAGCATACATCTCTTCAAATAATCCTT